ATATAACATTTAAAATTAAACACTTTTAAAAGGTAATTACTGTTTAAATAAAAACAAAAAGCGCTGAGATTTCTATATCATATGTCGAAATGTATGACAATAACATGAAACAACTTAAAAATGCACTTCTTATCAAACATGTGTGGATCCCGATAGTGCTAAGTGCTTGGAGAAAAGTTTATAGCACTAAACACCTGTGTTTAAAAAAAAAGAAAGAAAGAAAGTTCTCAAGTTTAAATGAACTTTGCTTATACCTTAAAAAAAAAAAAAAAAAATCAGTAAGGAGAGCAAAACCTGCAAGTAAGCAGAAGAAATGAGGCACAAAGACTACAGAGAATCAATAAACAGAAAAACAAAAACAGTAGAGCAAATCAATGAAACCAAAAAGCTGGTTCTTTGAGAAAATTAATAAAATTGATATACCTCTAAACCAGACTGATCAGAGAAAAAAATAGAATACAAACATCTAATACCAGGAATGAAAGAGGAACTTTATCACACAGATACTATAGATACATAAAAGATATAAAATATTATGCCTTTGTCAATAAATTTGACATCATAAATAAAATTTTAAAATTTTGAAAGATGTACAAAGTTCACTCAAGAGGAAATGGATAAATATGAATAGCCTTATATCTTATTATTAATGAAATGGAACTTGTGGTTAAAAACATTCCTACAAAGAAAAGTCCCAGATGGTTTCACTGGTAAATTCCTACTAAACATTTAGGGAAGAAATCATAATGATTTTACCCAAATTCTTCAGAAAATCTAGAGGAGAGGAGAAATACTCTATAACTCATTTTATGAGGCCACTAAGTATGTAAATCCAAAAAGATAAAGACATCATAAGAAAACTATGAACCAATTATTGTCATGAACTAGATGCAAATCATAAAAACACAATTTTAGAAAGCTGTATCCAACAAAAATAATAAACAGCATGACTAAAGTGAGGTTTATCTCAAGGAATGCAAGATGCTTTTAACATTTTGAAAATCAAATCAATATAATGCAGCACATTAACAAAACAGAAAAGAGAAACTATATGATTATATCATATCTTCAAAATTCATTTTTGAAAACTAGCAAACTGAACAGGAAGGCAACTTCTTCAACCTGATAAAGGGCTTCTCGAAAAAATCCTATGGCACAATCGTTACTTCCAGGATAAAAGACTTCAATAATTAATTAAAACTTACATTTCAAAATGAGCCAATTAAAATAAGATTTAAAATAAAATGAAAGAATGATGCACAAATCAAAAAATTAGAAACGAGAAATGAGCTGGACAGAAATCAAAGAATTGAATTAAAACAAAAAGAATTAAGAAACACAAAGCTAGGAAGGAATACAGGAAATGATCATCATAATAGTGCCTTAAGAGCTATGAAAGGTGAAGAGAAGAAACTTTTTAGAAATAAAAAAGAAATAAGATAAAAAGTATTCAAGAGAAAGTGATACATGATAATGTATCAAAACTAATTTAACACTTTAATTGTATGAACCTTTGACAGAAGGAAAATGTTTCAAAGAGACAGCTGGCATGGTGGCTCTACACTCTGTAACCCGTGCACTTGGGAGGCAGAGGCGGGCAGATCACCTGAGGTCAGGAGTTTGAGACCAGCCTGGCCAACATGGTGAAACCCCATCTCTACTAAAACTACAAAAATTAGCTGGGCATGGTGGTGGGCACCTGTAGTCCCAGCTACTCAGGAGGCTGAGGCAAGAGAATCTCTTGAACCCAGGAGTTGGAGGTTGCAGTGAGTCAGGATGGCACCATTGCACTCCAGCCTGGGCAACAAGAGTGAAAATCCATCTCAAAAAATAAAGGAAGGAAGGAAGGAAGGAAGGAAGGAAGGAAGGAAGGTAGACAAGAATAAGGAAGGAAGGAGTATAGAATATAAAAGTGAAAGAGACAAAAATTTTACACAGAGCCAACTTAACTTTCAAGTAAAAGATGACAAAACAAACTGTGACAAACACATCAGAATGAAGAATTCTCTTGTAGAACAAGACTAGAATAACTCAAGTATAACTAGGAGATAAATCTACATAAAGAATGCTGATAACAAATGCGTATTTGTTCACATAAAAACATGAAATAAGGTTGATAAGGCAGAAAGTACAGCATGCGGCACTCTTAAGTGTCTATAAATACAGATACAGAATTAGTAAAAAAAAAATAAGAACAGAAAAGAAGGAGGAGCAAAAATCTTTATTTCTCATAATCATGTGCGTGGTGCAGTATAGCAATTCTCATCCATACACTTTGGGAGAAGGAACTGGATATGTGGATATTCCTATCATCCCCTGTTTGAGACCTGGGCAATAAGAGAAAAACAAACAAACAAAAAGAGTTAAGTAAAACTTATATTCTGAATTTGATTTGAAATATCCATCAGAACTTGTGAGTTTAGTTTACCAGTAAATGCATGCACACACATACACATATTTTCATGGCAGATTTTTAAAGAAAGAGAGAGCCTGCACTCCATGATATTTCCTAATTCTGTCCACTAAGAAGGCCGAAACAACAATCACTGTAGCAGGAGTATCCTTGGGGTCCCAGACTGCAGTCTTAAACACCATTTCCCAGTAAAGGCGAGGAGGGTGTCTTTGCAGGAATGGCTTCTCCAGGTTTGGACAGAGTCCATAAGAGAGACCTGGAAAACTGATTACACATGACACAAGTGTGCTATCAGACCACAGTGGTCACGTCAGAGAACTCAGGAGAACCCTAAAGAGGCCCTGGTCAACAAAGAAAACAATCTGAGAATGAGTAAAGATAATAATTTCAATTAACTTGAAAATACACTAAAATGCTTAAACCTCATGTTCCTAATGAAACTTAAACACACACATACACAGCCCAAAGAGCCCTTGGGCTACATTTGGAAGATGACAGGAACTCAATTCATTATTTGTAAAACTTGGAAATAAAGAGGTAAATCAACACTTACTTAACTTTTCCTAAATGAACGCTAGATGACAGATTGAATGTGACCACTTTGCAACTTCCTATTAATTACTTAGATCCATCATAAGGCACTGAAGTCTAGTACCAGAGGATATTACATGCCTTTTAATGTGAAAGAATACTGTAGATCAAGCAAAAGTGATCAAGTCTGAAGTAATCCAAGTTTCAGATCCAGTTTTGACATATTGCTTTCATACCATGAGATGAAAGGAACATGCTTAGCTACACCACAAGAACTCAAAAAGCAAAATCTGGACCATGAAATCCTCCACATATTCTGACTCCGGTTCTTCAACAACAAATTTCATGAGGATAACACCAGGCAGATATGCAGGAAACTTATAGCTAAAAAGAGAAACTTAAGTGATGAAACTAAAAAGGAATGCTGGAAAGTTACTTACTATGAGTAATCAAGATAGCTGTTATTGTTTTAGGGCAGTACAAAGGAGCGGCTTTTGCACAGGCCACATCGAGGGTTTACACTCATTCAGAAAGTAATAATTTTGATATAATGGTAGCTTAAGAATGTTTAAGCATAATAACACAGTCAGCTCACATCCATGTTCCAATTGCTACAGATTCAACCAACGGCAGAAAGAAAACATTTGAAATAATAATAATACAACAGTTTAAAAAGTACAAATGAAAAAACAATATAGCACACAACTATTTGCATAGTATTTATATTTGATTAGAGGTCAAGAGTAATCTAGAGATGATTTAAAAGGCAGTAGGAAGATGGGCATAGGTTATATAAATAACACACCATTTTACATAAGAAACTTAACATCAGAGGATTTAGGGATCTACAGGGATGGGGTGTCCCAATCAATCCCTGCAGACACGGAGGGAGATCACACTCAATTGCATGAACAGCATTGTGGAGTCACACACAAAACATTTGTTTTATAGTTTTTATCTGTACTATATTTCAAAATAGAAAAGTTTTCATTAAAAGAGGTAGATAAGCACAGTATTAGGAGTCCTATCAGAGCCAGGAATAGTTTGACAAAATGTTGGAGAAAGAGCATTTTTTCTAGGAGAGAAAAAAGGAGGAATTACTATGAGGGAAAATGATATGAAAAGCAAAAATGTTAAAATACAAGGGCAACTTCAAAAGATTAAATCACTGCACCATACATGGAAAAAGTGCTGTATTTTGGCACATAAGAGTTGGTACCATTTCTGATCAGTGGCTAGATGTAGAGGAGAATATTCTAGGTTCTGGCTTATAGATATCAGAAAGTTGGTATCATTTCTGGATCGAAAATATAGATAGATATAATATTCTAGGTTCTGGCTTATAGACATCAGAAATATGACTACAGTGTAATAGAACTGATTCACTAAACTATCTTCCAAACACATGATCAAATGATGTTTATCTATGGGGGAGTTCTGTGAGCACTACATGACTTCATTCTAATTGTCTTGCCATTGCTCAAAGTAGTTTGGAACTACACTCTCTAACTGCCTTCAAAGACTTAGTTGCAGGTGCAAAATAATTGGTCTTATGACTTTATTGCTACACCAACATTTGGAGTAAGGTCTGTATTACCTGAAGCCCAATCACACAAATATTTCATAAAATTTTGGTCAAAACTGGACTCACCTTTAAAAGGCAAAGATTTGCTATCAGTGAAGATATATTCTAAAAGAATGTGCCGTATCTGGGTATGGGAAAACTCAGAGGAGTTCCAAAATGTTTTGGGTGGCAGGTCACTGCAATGAGTATTTAACTCTAAGTGATCAGAGAAGTCATTTACCATAAAATGGGATATGATTAAAGTAAGTCTTTATTATTTGTTAATTTAAATATTTATCGGGCATTGTCTTAAAACAAAAAACTTCCTACTACAACATATATTTTTCAAGATAAGACAGATAAAAAAGGCTTGTTTGGGAAGAACTGTGTCATGTTGAATGATAATCAGGAAAGGGCCTATTTATTCTCTTACACCATTTTAGACAGGCAAACATGCTATCTGATAGGTTAAAAAAACCCAACTTATGAAACTAAACATCACCACGTCATTAATAAAGATGAAGAATAATAAGAAGATAAGTACATTGAAACTCTTCAAACATCAAATGAAACTAAGAATGACTCAAAATCTACTGCTAGAAAAATACATTTTATGGTTGTTACATATATTGGCATAATGTATATTTTTGTGGTATATAGCCATTTTTTTTTTTTTTTTTTTTTTTTTTTGAGATGGTCTCGCTCTGTCGCCCAGGCTGGAGTGCAGTGACCGGATCTCAGCTCACTGCAAGCCCCGCCTCCCGGGTTTACGCCATTCTCCTGCCTCAGCCTCCCGCGTAGCTGGGACTACAGGCGCCGCCACCTCGCCCGGCTAATTTTTGTATTTTTAGTAGAGACGGGGTTTCACCGTGTTAGCCAGGATAGTCTCAATCTCCTGACCTCGTGATCCGCCTGCCTCGGCCTCCCAAAGTGTCAAATTACAGGTATGTGACAATAACTCTGGCCAAATGGGATAATAGAATTCTTAAGTCACTGCCAGATTCAAGTACAAAATCAAAGAGACTGCAACTTGATTCTGCAGAATTTCACTTTTCTCCACTGCTACTTGAACAATGAAAAATAAGTCTATGATTTCTATTGTTTTAACAATGGCTAATATAATGTAAGAAAGACTTAGTTATAAATACGAGTTTACTAATCTTATTTTTGTTAGACTTCAGAACTTCTATTATTTATGAAGCTAATTAACTTTTATATTTTACAAGTCATGTCAGACCTAAGCCAAAACAAAATTGCAAGAATACAAAATTTGAAAGAGTAATACTCAGGTAAAATGCTAAATCAAAGGTCTGAGAAAAGAAATGCAGTTTTGTGAAGTAGTAATAATAATAATAAATAAAATATAAATATTTCAGAGAATAAAACACATCTGGCAGTCAAGTTGAAAGTATAATCTATTATAATATGACATCTATAATATACATTTCCAGTTTTCCTTCTGGATATCACCAGTATCATATGTATTAAATATTACCAAGGTGGAGGAGGTGAATTCTATGTAAAGAATCACTTGATTTTATAAACCTGAGGACTCATTCAAATGATTTTAATTATATATAATAAAAATGTTACCATGTTCACATAAATCCATCTTCTGAAATTTAGCTTGTCTCAATGTAACAACTAAACAACATACATGGGAAATAATGATGCTATCTGAAATAATACAAAAGCAAAGTGAAAAAGTATAGAAAACTAACACTTTAACAGCCCATAGGCAAAGTAAATATAAGAGGGCTACATTTCTAATAATGGCAAAGAATTGAACCAACCTTCCCACTAAGAACTAATGTAGGAAAATACAAATATATAAATAAAAATATCTTTCAAAATATGAGCAAAAAGCCATGATTAATGTGCCAAATGAGGAATTAAAAGATAGATATAACTATAAAGCACATACACACTTGGGACCACTTTTCTTCCCAGAGGTATCTGCCACCCCCAACAGAGGCAGATGCCTGCCAGCTGAGAGGCAGTTGGGAGACCAGCAAGCTGAGCAGGCATTTCAGCCGATTCAGCAGTCAGAGTGCACCAAGAAGGGTGCTAGCTTGGAGTTTCAAAAGGCCATACTATAATAGTGAACCAGAAACTACAGCTCCTCAGAAAGACTGAACTACTCCATGGATCATCTCAATCTGATTTCATGAAGGTGGCTCAAGATTAATTAGTGCTTTTGACTTGCCTCTCCACCGCTTTCATGTATAATGTCCAGCACAAAACCAAAATGACCCCAGTATGAATAAACATAAGACACTATCACTAACACAACAGAAACAGATCCAGAAAAGATTTATATTTGTGGATCAGCACATTTGTTAGCAGGCAAATGATAATAAATATGTTATGCTTGTTAATACACACAGTCTCTGTATATTCTTTTCTATTTTTGACTCATCCTTTAAAGATATAAAATATTCTTGTTTTGATCACCAAACACTTGTCTATGCAATGATATGTCTTAAATCCAGGTCAAATGGGTTCAAGCAAAGAACTGACAGGATTAGCACCAGAGGATACAGGTTTATAAAAAATTTGAGCTAGGCCAGGTCATGCCTTATAACTGCATTTGGGAGGTCAGATAGGAGGACTGCTTGAGCCCAGGAGTCAAGAGCAGCTTGGGCAAGATGGTGCGACCTCATCTCTACAAAAATTAAAAAAATTAGCCAGATGTGGTGGCACAATGAACTAAGTTTAACCTTAATCTATGAAAAAACACAATCAATAATAAAATCTAAAGAAACTAGAATATGATTGAATTATCTCTGTAAGCATGAAATGTACAAATACAAACAAAACTATATACATTAGTAAAGAAAAATAAAAGCCTAGTATATCCAGAGAATGGCTAGAAAATCATTACAGCAACATCAACTACCTCTAAAGAGTTTTTTTTTTTTTTTTTTTTTGGAACTGAGTCTCACTCTGTCACCCAGGATGGAGTGCAGTGGCATGATCTCAGCTCACTGCAAACATCTTAGCCTCCAGGTTCAAGCACTCCTGCCTCAGCCTCCCAAGTAGCTGAGATTACAGGAGCCTGCCACCATGCTCCGCTAATTTTGTTTGTATTTCTTAGTAGAGACAGGGTTTCACCATCTGGCCAGGATGGTCTTGAACTCCTGACCTCGTGATCTACCCGCCTCAGCCTCCCAAAGTTCTGGGATTACAGAAAGGAGCTAATGCTACTTCTTGGCCCCAAAGAGCTGCTTAGTTGCATCAGTACCACTGGATTAATAAATGTGCTTGCAATGAAGTGCCTATTAAAAATCGATTCTACTCTGTTGGCATTTGCAAATAATGAAAACCATAGAATAATGTCTGTGTTATAACCTGAAAGGAGATTAACTATTATGAAGCGGAAGTGAGGGAACACTTAAACATGAGCACCAACTGAGCTAAGTATAATTTCACTCTTTGAGGCTATTGGCAGCATAAGACTTCTTGGCAGAATTTCCTACTCCAACATAGAGTATTATTATCATCAGTATTTATTATGAAGGAGCTCTGAAGGAAAATCTTAGTATCATGAAATTTCAAAATTTTCCATTTATTCTCTGCTTCCCCAGTTCAGTTTCTTGGTACTAGTTATGTAGTTGCTTTAGAAACAGGATATGGGCTCTGCTCACTTAAGCAATGATGAGCTTTATGATTAAAGCTCATAGATAAGGTGCCAGGTAAAATTCTGCTCCACAGACAAAACAGCCAACATTTAGCTGAATTGGAAGCAGAATGTCCTGCTGTGAAGAGTATGATTGGCCCTTAGAATGCTGTGTAGCTTGGCACCTAGAATGATCACCAGGACAAAAGGAAAATCTATAGGTAGATATATGCAGATAATATCTCAAACACCAAAAATAACATTTGTGAATAAAAATAATAGAAAAACTCTTTCACATGTCGAGCCTTAAAATCTGTCAAACTAACTAATACAGTAAAAGAATGTGGAATTATATTATTTCATAAAAATCATACCTTTATGTAAACTTTATTCCCTATTTTGAAAATCTTTTAGGGCATAAATGTAACCATATTAAAAAATTTCTATGGAAACAACCAAGGACATCTTGCATTCAACTTAATTAATATACCCAAAGGAATATAAATCATTCTATTACAAAGATACATGTGTTCATTGCAGCACTATTGACAATAGCAAAGACATGGAATTAACCCAAATGCCCATCAGTGACAGACTGGATAAAGAAAATGTGGTACATATACACCATGGAATACTATGCAGCCATAAAAAGGAACGAGATCAGGTCCTTTGCAGGGACATGAATGGAGCTGGAGGCCATTATCCTTAGCAACAGAAACAGAAAACCAAACACCACATGTTCTCACTTATAAGTGGTTGCTGAACAATGAGAATACATGGACACAGGGAGGGGAACAACACACGCTGGGGCCTATCGGGGGATGGGGTGGGGAGAACATTAGGAAAAACAGCTAATGCATGCTGGGCTTAATACCTAGGTAATGGGTTGATAGGTGCAAAAACCACCATGGCATACATTTACCTACGTAACAAACCTGTACATCCTGCACATGTACCCCAGAACTTAAAAATAAAAATTAATTTAAAAATTCATCTTACCTGTGTAAAAAGAATAAACTGAGCAAATTGCCAGGGAAGCATAAAAGCCACATTGGAAAGACAGAGTGCAACGAAGGGCCTTCTGTCATTGCTCGAGGTCCTTAATAGAGAGAATTGATACGAATAAGTTTCACCCTAAAAATAGGCTGTCACTGAAAAGAAAGACTAGTTGCAAAATGATAAAATCTAAATTATTCCATTACCTTTACTATTAATACAACAAAATATAGTTAACTTTTTAAAGCATACTAAAAAGAACTTGAAATACTTCATGCCTTGCATGAAGCAATCAAAATTAGAGTTTTAAAAATAACATTGCAATGTACCACTAAATATTTTAAATAAAAAAGCTTGTTTTCCTCTACATATGCATGACATTAGAAATTTAATACTCCAGCAAGGAGGTCAGAAAATAGGATGCAGCGCTGCCCCTGCACACCTCAACATGCTTCTCCTGTATGTGTAGCAACAACTTTATATACCACCACTTTTCTGTTTCAAAAAACATTGAAGAGAAATGTAAGTGCTGACAAAGGAATAAGTTAACTATGGGAAAAATTTAAGGAAAAGGAATCTTAAAAAATTAAAAGATCATTCTAGAATTCAGTTGAAGCATGTGGAAGTTTAAATTGTCCATTCTCCATTACTGAGATGTATTGGGAACCAGTATATTTTACCACAGAGAATTACAATAACTTTTAGACATGAAAAAAGAAACACAAATGTTTTACATAAATAGTAAAACTGTAACTGTTCTTTTTATAAATGCTGTGTTGGATTTTGATGAATCTTTGTACAATCGTATATAAATTTTCAGAAACAAAATTCTAAATGTTCATATTGTTTACTGTTATCATAAAATACTCATTATGTACTTTGTAATCTTAAATTTTTCGAACAAAAATTACTTTTGACTAAGATACAGAGTATAGCACATGCCCTCAATGATACAACCCTAAATATTCTAATTAAGACATTTTATTCCATGAAACCCCTGACTGACCAGACTGACATTACTTCAAAAAAAATAAAAATAACCCACCTTCCTAGAAATTAAACTGGGAGTGAATAGCAAAGGGTGATGAAGAATGGGCAGCTTCCATCACCTAATCTTTGAGAGAAGGCAAAGTGTACAGCAAAGATACAGAAATCTGAATGAGGAGGAGGTTCCTAAATCCAAATTCAACCCCAGAATATACTCGTCAGGTTGGTAAGAAATCAGAAGTTAGCCTGCTCCATTCTCAAGGTTTGTGCCACCCCAGTACACTACTATTTACCACTCTTCAATTAGCTTTATCTGAGTGCCACAAATATTTGCATGGATGTGTGCACCAGTGGTACTTTTAAATACATATAACTGGCTGGGCACAGTGACTCACGCCTGTAATCCCAGCACTTTAGGAGGCCGAAGCGGGTGGATCACTTGAGGTCAGGAGTTTGAGACCAGCCTGGCCAACATGGTAAAACCCTGCCTCTACTAAAAACACAAAAATTAGCTGGGGGTGGTGGTGTGCACCTGTAATCCCAGCTACTTGGGAGGCTAAGGCAGGAGAATCGCTTGAACCCGGGAAGCAGAGGTTGCAGTGAGCTGATTGTGCCACTGCACTCCAACCTGGGTGACAGAGCAAGACTTCATCTCTAAATAAATAAATAAAAATTTATGTATGTGTGGATGATTCATAAATTTACTGTTTTAAAAAACAAGGAAGACAAACAAATGAGTTTTATATAAGGCAGAATCTGCCAAGGACTAGTAGGTGAAGAATGGGGTCCTCTGGGAGTTTGGAGGAGATAGTGATCATTATTTCATTCAGTGAGAGTTCTCATTAGTATTCTATCAAACTTATTTCTCTGATAAGGCTATTTATACTACTACCACTTACGGGGTTTTTTGTTCATTTCTCAGACCTCTTAAATATCTAAAATGCTTATAAATGTAATCCCTACAAAAAAAGTGTATCCAAAAAAAAAAAAAACTTTGAAATGAAATTGGTTGTCCTGTTGGAAACATTGGTTGTTCAGAAATGCTTCATAAATAAGAGAATATATGTACTCCTTATCCATCTAACTCCGCATTTCCCAAATTCGTTTGCACACAGGACACTTTTTTCATGACACATTCATCAAAACCACAGGTTAGAAAACAATGTCAGAGTACCTAAACTCTGAAGAGAAAATGTAATTGTTTCTCAAAAACTTTTGAATCTTGGCAAACTATATACAAACACATACCTTTTGGTTTTTTAAAACATAATGTAGTTACTTAAAACCTGTAGCCTACTCTTAAATGGGAGAGCAATTTTTACATAGCAATTTTGAATTATTTTCTTAAATCTATACTCAATACTTTTAAAATAACTAAAAAATGATCTAAATTTAGTAATTACAACTTCATAGATTGAAGTATATATCTATAATATATATATATTTACATTTTTTTAGAGGGGGTCTCGCTCTGTTGCCCAGACTGGAGTGCAGTGGCACAATCTCAGCTCACGGCAACCTCTGCCTCCCGGTTCAAGCAATTCTCCTGCCTCAGCCTCCCAAGTAGCTGGGATTACAGGCACACACCACCATGCCTGGCTAATTTTTGTATTTTAGCAGAGACGAGGTTTCACCGTGTTGGCCAGGCTGGTCTCGAACTCCTGACCTCAAGTGATCCGCCCACCTTGGCCTCCCAAAGTGCTGAATTGAAGTATAGTTTAAGAAACTTAAATTACAATTTATTTGCCTTTGTTTTATAAATCAAAGTTACCTGAGAATCAAAGTTAAAATATACATCTGAAGTACAAGGAATGGATAGGAAAAACTTTCACGGAGAGGTGGTGTCCACATCACACGGGTGGCCTGAAATCAACAAAATGCCCACTTTACATCATGTTTACTACAACAAACATATTTAAAAACCAGGGGTGAGTTTGTTTTAGTAATTTTAATACTAGGCTCACTATATCCCATTTCTGAGTGTCTGGCATAGCTTCTCAGTTTTTGAAGCTCTCTTAACGCATGAGGCCATTAAGTAGAGAGCAATTAACTACCATGTACAGAAACCAGCAACAGATACATCAGACCCAGCAAAAGGAAACCCAAGGGACAAATAAGATTGTATGTATAAGAGTTGTGAGAATTCTGTGACTGACCAACTAGATCCACAGTCCAGTCCTGCAGGTATGATCCTGGCATATGATCCTGGCATCCTAGGCTTTGGGTTATATGTATGCCTAGACAAATACCTAAACAAATGTCACCTAGGTAATTCGCAAGCACCAAGAGAGTTTCTACGTAACAAGTTTGAATGAATATAAATACACACTTCGAATAGCTAAGATTGCCTCAGAATTTGTAAAATGTAACTTAAAAAAGGTTAAGTATATATTTTAAAAACAACTAGAAGTATTTGGGAACTACAAATGTGATGCATGTAATGAAAGTATTAAATGTTCATACAAACTTTAAAATTACTTCTAAGACATATGGGTCAGAGTATTAGAAAAATTTTCCATCAAAAATTCTGAAATTCTAGAAAGAATGTGAACTCTTATTACTTTCCAAGAGTGTTAAAAGTTATTGCTCCTCTTCCAAGATACCAAAATTATAAATGTTGTAAGAGGAATTATGATACATATAAGAAAGTCAACTTATACCAAGTTTCCTGGCACACTCAAAGAAAAAGCTTTGTCATTGTATCAGCACATTGTTGAATGACAATGCATTTATTTGCTTTAAAATAATATATATAAGGATTTTATGTATAATTTTTATGATTCCTTTATCTAACTGATTTTTAAAAATTAACCCAACAGCAATGGATAAAAGTACTTCTACCCTGGCTGGGCATGGTGGCTCATGCCTGTAATCTCCAGTACTCTGGGAGGCCAAGGTGGCTGGATCACGAGGTCAGGAGTTCAAGACCAGCCTAGCCAACATGGTGAAACCCCATCTCTACTAAAAATACAAAAATTTAGTTGAGCATGGTGGCACATGCCTGTAATCCCAGCTACTCAGGAGGCTGAGGCAGGAGAATTGCTTGAACCCAGGAGGCGGAGGTTGCAGTGAGCTGAGATCACGCCACTGCACTGCACTCCAGGCTGGGAAACAGAGCAAGACTCCATCTTGAAAAAAAAAATGTACTTCTACCCTATGTAACCTGTGTCATAACATAAAATATTTTGCTCTCAAGAGCTAATAGTCAGAATCTCTCTCTTTTTCATTGCCATATCCTCAGCATCTAACAGAGCATGGACGTGGTATGTACTCAATATTTTGTTGAATGAATCCATCATATTTGAAATAAGCTTCTATGAGCTCTTTTTTAGGTAGACTATGTTTCATTGGGCTGAATTAGTAAGTTAATGTTTATTTTGAGTTCAGCATTTTGCATTACTGAACAGATACCATGACGTAACAGAAACAAGTGAGGGAGCAGGTGGCAGCGTCTTAACCATGTCCTTGCTGTCAGGCAAGTTTCAGTTAGACAAGATGAATAAGTTCTAGAGATCTGCTATACAACATTGTGTTAGTACTGTAGTGTACACTTAGAAATCTGGAAATGAGGTTCCAAGATGGCCGAATAGGAACAGCTCCAGGCTACAGCTCCCAGAGTGAGCGACTCAGGAGATGGGTGATTTCTGCATTTCTAACTGAGGTACTGGGTTCATCTCACTGGGGCATGTTGGACAGTGCGTGCAGGACTGTGGGTGCAGCCCACCAAGCGAGAGCTGAAGCAGGGCAGGCATCGCCTCACCCGGGAAGTGCAAGGGGTAAGGGAATTCCCATTCCTAGCCAAGGGAAACCATGACACACACCACCTAGAAAATTGGGTTACTCCCACCCTAATACTGTGCTTTTCCAAGGGTCTTAGCAAATGGCACACCAGGAGATTACATCCCGCACCTGGCATAGAGGGTCCCACGAACATAGGGCCTCCCTCATTGCTGGCACAGCAGTCTGAGATCTAACTGCAAGGCAGCAGCAAGGCTGGGGGAGGGGCGCCCGCCATTCCTGAGATTTGAATAGGTAAACAAAGCAGCCTGGAAGCTCCAACTGGGTGGAGCCCACCACAGCTCAAGGAGGCCTGCTGGCCCCCGTAGACTTCACCTCTGGGGACAGGGCATAGCCAAACAAAAGGCAGCAGAAACCTCAGTAGATTTAAATGTCCCTGTCTGACAGCTTTGAAGAGACTAGTGGTTCTCCCAGCATAGAGTTGGAGATCTGAGAACGGACAGACTGCCTCCTCAAGTGGGTCCCTGACCCCTGAGTAGCCTAACTAGGAAGTACCCCCAAGTAGGGGCAGACTGACACCTCACACGGCTGGGTATACCTCTGAGATGAAGCTTCCAGAGAAATGATCAGGCAGCAACATTTACTGTTCAGCATTATTCACTCTGCTGCAGCCTCTGCTGCTAATACCCAGTCAAACAGGGTCTGGAGTGGACCTCCAGCAAACTCCAATAGACTTGCAGCTGGGGGTCCTGACTGTTAGAAGGAAAACTAACAAAAAGAAAAGACATCCACACCAAAACCCTGTCTGTACGTCACCATTATCAAAGACCAAAGGTAGATAAAACCACAAAGATGGGGAACAGGGTACAAAAGCTGACAATTCTAAAAATCAGAGCGCCTCACCCCCTCCAGAGAAATGCAGCTCTTCACTAGCAACAGAACATAGCTGGATGGAGAATGACTTTGACGAGAGAAGAAGGCTTCACATGATCAAACTTCTCCGAGCTAAAGGAAGAAGTTTGAACCCATCACAAAGAAGCTAAAAACATCGAAAAAAGGTTAGACGAATGGCTAACTAGAATAACCAATGTAGAGAAATCCTTAAATGACTTGATAGAGCTGAAAACCATGGCATGAGAACTACATGATGCATACACAAGCCTCAGTAACCGATTCAATCAACTGGAAGAAAGGGTATCAGTGACTGAAGATCAAATGAATGAAATGAAGTGAGAAGACAAGTTTAGAGAAAAAAGAGTAAAAGATATGTACAAAGCCTGCAAGAAATATGGGACTATATGAAAAGACCAAATCTACGTCTGATTGGTATACCTGAAAGTGACCAGAAGAATGGTACCACGTTGGAAAACACACTTCAGGATATTATACAGGAGAAATTCCCTAACCTAGCTAGGCAGGCCAACATTCAAATTCAGGAAATACAGAGAGCATCACAAAGATACTCCTCAAGAAGAGCAACTCCAAGACACATAATTGTGAGATTCACCAAAGTTGAAATGAAGGAAAAAAAGTTAAGGGCAGCCAGAAAGAAAGGTCGGGTTGCCCACAAAGGGAAGCATATCAGACGAACAGCAGATCTCTTGGCAGAAACTCAACAAGCCAGAAGAGAGTGGGGCAAATATTCGACATTCTTAAAGAAAAGAATTTTCAACCCAGAATTTCATATCCAGCCAAACTAAGCTTCATAAGTGAAGGAGAAATAAAATCCTTTACAGACAAGCAAATGCTGAGAGGTTTTATCCTCACCAGGCCTGCCTTACAAGAGCTCCTGAAGGAAGCACTAAACATGGAAAGGAACAACCGGTACCAACCACTGCAAAAACATGCCAAAATGTAAAGACCATCGATGCTAGGAAGAAACTGCATCAACTAATGAGCAAAATAACCATCTAACATCATAATGACAGGATCAACTTAGCACATAACAATATTAAGCTTAAATGTAAATGGGCTAAATGCTCCAATTAAAAGACACAGACTGGAAAATTGGATAAAGAGTCAAAGCACACCCATCAGTGTGCTGTATTCAGGAGACCCATCTCTTGTGCAGAGACATGCATAGGCTCAAGATAAAGGGATGGAGGAAGATCTACCAAGCAAGCAGAAAACAAACGAACAAAAAAAGCAGGGATTGCAATCCTAGTCTCTGATAAAAGAGACTTTAAACCAATAAAGGTCAAAAGAGACAAAGAAGGCCATTACATAATAGTAAAGGGATCAATTCAACAAGAAGAGCTAACTATCCTAAATATATATGCACCCAATACAGGAGCATCCAGATTCATAAAGCAAGCACTTAGAGACTTGCATAGAGACTTAGACTCCCACACAATAATAATGGGCAACTTTAACACCACACTGTCAACATTAGACAGATCCACGAGGCAGAAAGTTAACAAAGATATCCAGGAATTGAACTCAGGTTGGCACCAAGCAGACCTAATGGACATCTACAGAACTCTCCACCCAAAATCAACAGAATATATATTCTTCTCAGCACCACATCGCACTTATTCCAAAATTGACCACATTGTTGGAAGTAAAGCACCCCTCAGCAAATGTGAAAGAACAGAAATTATAACAGTCCACAGTGCAATCAAACTAGAACTCAGGATTAAGAAACTCACTCAAAATTGCTCAACTACATGGTAACTGAACAACCTGCTCCTGAATGACTACTGGTTACATAACGAAATGAAGGCAGAAATAGAGATGTTCTTTGATACCAATGAGAACAAAGACACAACATACCATAATATCTGGGACACATTTAAAGCAGTGTGTAGAGGGAAATTTATAGCACTAAATGCCCACAAGAGAAAGCAGGAAATATCTAACATTGACACCCTAACATCACAATTAAAAGAACCAGAGAAACAAGAGCAAACACATTTAAAAGCTAGCAGAAGGCAAGAAATAACTAAGATCAGAGCAGAACTGAAGGAGATAGAGACACAAAAAAACCCTTGAAACAATCAATGAATCCAGGAGCTGGTTATTTGAAAAGATCAACAACATTGATAGACTGCTAGCAAGAAAAATAAAGAAGAAAAGAGAGAAGAATCAAATAGAAGCAATGAAAAATGATAAAGGGGATATCACTGCCGACCCCACAAAAATACAAACTAACATCAGATAATTCTATAAATACCTCTACGCAAATAAACTAGAAAATCCAGAAGAAATGGATAAATTCCTGGACACATACATCCTCCCAAGACTAAACCAGGAAGAAGTTGAATCCCTGAATAGACGAATAACAGGCTCTGAAATTGAGGCAATAATTAATAGCCTACCAACCAAAAAAAGTCCAGGACCAGACAGATTCACAGCCAAATTCTACCAGAGGTACAAGGAGGAGCTGGTACCATTCTTTCTGAAACTATTCCAATCAATAGAAAAAGAGGGAATCCTCCCAAACACATTTTATGAGGCCAACATCATCCTGATACCAAAGCCTGGCAGAGACACAACAAAAAAAAGAGAATTTTAGACCAATATCCCTGATGAATGTTGATGCAAAAATCCTTAATAAAATATTGACAAACCGAATCCAGTAGCACATGAAAAAGCTTATCCACCATGATCAACTGGGCTTCACCCCTGGAATGCAAGGCAAGTTCAACATATGCGAATCAATAAATGTAATCCAGCATATAAACAGAACCAAAGACAAACACCACATGATTATATCAATAGATGCAGAAAAGGTCTTTGACAAAATTCAACAGCCCTTCATGCTAAAAGCTCTCAATAAATTTGGTACTGATGGAACGTGTTTCAACATAATAAGAGCTATTTATGACAAACTCACAGCCAATATCATACAGAATGGGCAAACCTGGAAGCATTCCTTTTGAAAACGGGCACAAGTCCCTCTCTCATGACTCCTATTCAACGTAGTGTTGGAAGTTCTGGCCAGGGAAATCATGCAAGAGAAAGAAATAAGGGGTGTTCAGTTAGGAAAAGAGGAAGTCAAATTTTCCCTGTTTGCATATGACATGATTGTATATTTAGAAAACTATATCGTCTCAGCCCAAAATCTCCTTAAGCTGATAAACAACTTCAGCAAAATCTCAGGATACAAAATCAATGTGCAAAAATCACGAGCATTCCTATACACCAATAACAGACAGATAGAGAGCCAAATCATGAGTGAACTCCAATTCACAATTGCTTCAAATAAAATAAAATACCTAGGAATTCAACTTACAAGGGATGTGAAGGACCTCTTCAAGGCGAACTACAAACCACTGCTCAATGAAATAAAAGAAGACACAAACAAACGGAACATTCCATGCTCATGGATAGGAAGAATCAATATTGTGGAAATGGCCATACTGCCCAAGGTAATTTATAGATTCAATGCCATCCCCATCAAGCTACCAATGACTTCCTTCACAGAATGGGAAAAAATCTACTTTAAGGTTCATATGGAACCAAAAAAGAGCCCGCATTGCCAAGACAATCCTAAGCCAAAAGAACAAAGCTGGAGGCATCACACCACCTGACTTTATACTACAAGGCTACAGTAACCAAAACAGCATGGTACTGGTACCAAAACAGAGATATAGACCAATGGAAGAGAACAGAGCCCTCAGACATAATACCACACATCTACAACCATCTGATGTTGACAAACCTGACAAAAACAAGAAATGGGGAAAGGATTTCCTATTTAATAAATAGTGCTGGGAAAACTGGCTAGTCATATGTAGAAAGCTGAAATTGGATCCCCTCCTTATATCTTATACAAAAACTAATTCAACATGGATGAGAGACTTAAATGTTAAACCTAAAACCATAAAAACCCTAGAAGAAAACCTAGGCAATACCATTTAGGACATAGGCATGGGCAAGGACTTCATGACTAAAACACCAAAAGCAATGGCAACAAAAGCCAAAATTCACAAATGGAATCTAATTAAACTAAAGAGCTTCTGCACAGCAAAAGAAACTACCATCAGAGTGAACAGTCAACCTACGGAATGGGAGAAAAATTTTACAATCTACCTATCTGACAAAGGGCTAATATTCAGAATCTACAAAGAACTTAAACAAATTTACAAGAAAAAATCAAACAACCCCATCAAAAAGTGGGCAAGGGATATGAACAGACACTTCTCAAAAGAAGACATTTATGCAGCCAACAGACACATGAAAAAATGCTCATCATCACTGGCCATCAGAGCAATGCAAATCAAAAACCACAATGAGGTAACATCTCACACCAGTTAGAATGGTGATCATTAAAAAGTCAGGAAACAGGTGCTGGAGAGGATGTAGCAAAATAGGAACACTTTTACACTGTTGGTGGGACTGTAGACTAGTTCAACCATTGTGGAAGACAGTGTGGCAATTCCTCAAGGATCCAGAATTAGAAATACCATTTGACCCAGCCATCCCATTACTGGGTATATACCCAAAGGATTATAAATCATGCTGTTATAAAGAGAAATGCACACATGTTTATTGCGGCACTAATCACAATAGCAAAGACTTGGAACCAACCCAAATGTCCATCACTGACAGACTGGATTAAGAAAATGTGGCACATACACCCATGGAATACTATGCAGCCATAAAAAGAGATGAGTTTATGTCCTTTGTAGGGATATGGAAGGAGCTGGAAACCATCATTCTCAGCAAACTATTGCAAGAACAGAAAACCAAACACCGCATGTTCTCACTCATAGGTGGAAATTGAACAGTGAGAACACTTGGACACTGGGGCCTCTCATGGGGTGGGGGAGGGAGAAGGGGTAGCATTAGGAGATATACATAATGTAAACGACGAGTTAATGGGTACAGCAGACCAACATGGCACATGTATACGTATGTAACAAACCTGCACTTTGTGCGCATGTACCCTAGAACTTAAAAGTATTAAAAAAAAAAAAAAATCAGAAAAAAATATGTTAAGAGGGCAGATCTCATGTTACTTATTCTGACCATAATAAAAAAGTTGAATATATATGTTATATGTATAATATATATGTTTTTATAAAATACAACTAATTTTATAATTTATAAAATATAAATTAATATATATGTGAGGTTTTAGAGGCAGACAGACATAGAATGGGAAATCCAGCTTCATCATGTAGTAAATGGGGCATGTGGATAAGTAACTTTGTGTAAATTTAAATTTCACACCTTGTATGGTGAGGCTACCACCACCCACAAATAAAGTTTAGTGGGAATAAGTCAGATAATGTGCACGATATGATTCAACTCAAGAAGTACAGTATTTCCTTTTCTCTGCAGAATATATGTATATGTATATATTTACTAAAAACAAGGCAAGAGATTTCATGTTTGAAATTTTACCTATTTAAACATTTCAATCAACATGATTTAAAAATCAACTTATAACACACGGGTCTTTAAAATATTGTGAAGTCATAAGTAGTATACAATTATATATTGTTTTGATGAGTATATTTCCTTGTTCCTCTACAGCCTCTTCTATTTCTTAAAAATTGCTTTCTAGAAAACAAACCTCTCCATGGTTGAAAAAGAAGCACAGTACTGTAATAACACCTCCTAGTTGAGTCCCACTGCAAAAAAAAAATAATAATAATAGAGTATACAATCAAAATTCATGTAAAATATAGTGAGTTTTTCACAAAATTACCTCAGAATTTAAAATCATAGTTTTCTATATGTAAGACATAATAGTACTAAACCATACCCATGTGGTTGTTTAAATTCTGAATGTACAATTCTAAAAAGTATACCTATAAATTAATCTCAATTTTATAATTTATTATAGCTAAAATACTTTCTAAATAAAATATACAATGTGTGAACATAAATTTTTCTTTTTTTGAGACTGAGTCTTGCTCTGTTGCCTAGGCTGGAGTGCAGTGGCAAAACCTCGGCTCACAGCAACCTCCGTCTCCTGAATCCAATGATTCTCCTACCTCAGGCTCCCGAGTAGCTGGGATTACAGGTGTGTGCCACCACGCCCGGCTAATTTTTTTACTTTTAGTAGACATGGGGTTTCACCATGTTGGCCAAGCTAGTCTTGAACACCTGACCTCGTGATCCACCCACCTTGGCCTCCCAAAGTGCTGGGATTACAGGTGTGAGCCACTGCGCCCGGCCACATAAAGTCATTTTTAAGAAACAGGCTAGCACTTTAGAGTCTAAATCATATCGTTTGAATACTCTGAATAAAAGCAAATTTTTATCTTTTGAAATTGGATTTAAGGGACTGAGAGATGAAGACAAGAGTCTAACAGTTGCATGTAGCATTAACTTAGAACTATCTAAACTACTACAAATGTTCTTTACTTGAGTCCCAGAGAAGCAATAATGCAGAATAAAAAAATCAGATGAAAGATAAAAATCATTTCTTTTGTTGTTCTTGTTTTGTTTTTTTGTTGTTTTTTGTTTTTTGTTTTTGTTTTTCTGAGACAGTCTCGCTCTGTCACCCAGGCTGGAGTGCAGTGGCGCGATCTTGGCTCACTGTAACCTCTGCCTCCCCGGTTCAAGCCTATTCTTCTGCCTCAGCCTCCTGAGTAGCTGGGATTACAGGCACATGCCAGCACACCTGGATGATTTTGGTATTTTTAGTAGAGATGGGGTTTCACCATGTTGGCCTGGCTGGTCTAACTCCTGACTTCAAGTGATCTGGCTGTCTTGGCCTCCCAAAGTGTTGGGATTATAGGCGTGAGCCACCGTGCCTGTCCAAAAACCATTTCTTATTCATGATCACAAATTGCCTTTTTGTGATCATGTCTGTGTATGAGAATGCAGATGCTCAATCCCACATCTGTGTAGTGTTTCTAGGCTTCCATTTATCTTCCCTCCACACACCACTTCCCTAGTCTAGCACATTCTAAGCACCATGAGGACAAGGACAGGTTCTTTATCTGTCTTGTTCATTACTGGATCCCCAGCTTCTCACTTGGAAGATTAATAAATATTGTTTGAATTAATGAAGAAAGAAAGAAAGAAAACAACAGAGAAAAGCTAGTGGGAAATGATTTACCATTTAATAAAGCTTCACACAGAAAATCCAAAGGATGAACTTCACAGAGGAAGAAATTGAAAGAAAGAAGGTGTGAGCAGCAAGGACCAATTGTACATGGAGGAATTGGGGACATGTGGATAAATCAAAGTAAGATTTGACAACAGAAATAATAATCACGCAGCTGTGAGGGGTAACAGGAGTACTAAATGATGGTAATAACATGTAAGATAGGAGAGGATGGAGAGAGGTTCCAAGATGGCGAAATAGGAACAGCTCCAGTCTACAGCTCCCAGCGTGAGCAACACAGAAGATGGGTGACTTCTGCATTTCCAACTGAAGTACTGGGTTCATCTCAATGGGGCTTGTCCGACAGTGGGTGCAACCCACAGAGCAGGGTGGGGCATCATCTCACCCAGGAAGCACAAGGGGTTGGGGAATTCCCTTTACTAGTCAAGAGACGTGTGACAGACGGTTCCTGGAAAATACAGACACTTCCACCCTAATACTGTGCTTTTCCAAAGGCCTTAGCAAACGACACACCAGCAGATTATATCTTGTGCCTGGCTGAGAGGGTCCCATGCCCATGGAGCCTCGCTCACTGCTAGCAGAGCAGTATGAGATCGAACTGCAAGGCGGCAGTGAGGCTGGGGGAGGGGCGTCTGCCATTGCTGAGGATCGAGTAGGTAAACAAAATGGCTAGGAAGCTCGAACTGGGTGGAGCCCACTGCAGCTCAGGAAGGCCTGCCTGCCTCTGTAGACTCCACTTCTGGAGGCAGGGCATAGCTGAACAAAAGGCAGCAGAAACTTCTGTAGACTTAAACGTCCCTGTCTGACAGCTTTGAAGAGAGTAGTGGTTCTCCCAGCATGGAGTCTGAGATCTGAGAATGGACAACTGCCTCCTCAAGTGGGCCCCTGACCCCTGAATAGCCTAACTGGGAGACACCTCCCAGTAGGGGCCAACTGACACTTCATACAGTCGGGTGCCCCTCTGAGATGAAGCTTCCAGAGGAACGATCAGGCAGCAACATTTGCTGTTCAGCAATATTTGCTGTTCTGCAGCCTCCGCTGGTGATACTCAGGAAAACAGGGTCTGGAGTGGACCTCCAGCAAACTCCAACAGACCTGCAACTGAGGGTCCTGACTGTTAGAAGGAAAACTAACAAAAAGAAAGGACACCCACACCAAAACCCCATATATACGTCACCATCATCAAAACCAAAGGTAGATAAAACCACAAAGATGGGGAGAAACCAGAGCAGAAAGGCCAAAAATTCTAAAAATCAGAGCACCTCTTCTCCTCCAAAGGAATGCAGATCCTTGCCAGCAACAGAACAAAGCTGGATGGAGAATGACTTTGGTGAGTTGAGAGAAGAAGGCTTCACACGATCAAACTTCTCCAAGCTAAAGGAAGAAGTTCGAACCCATCACAAAGAAGCTAAAAACATTGAAAAAAGATTAGATGAATGGCTAACTAGAATAAACAGCGTAGAGAAGACCTTAAATGACCTGATGGAGCTGAAAACCATGGCATGAGAACTACGTGACGCATACACAAGCTTCAGTAACTGATTTGATCAACTGGAAGAAAGGGTATCAGTGACTGAAGATCAAATGAATGATGTGAAGCGAGAAGTTTAGAGAAAAAAGAGTAAAAAGAAATGAACAAAGCCTCCAAGAAATATGGGACTATGTGAAAAGACCAATCTATGTTTGATTGGTGTACCTGAAAGTGACCAGGAGAATGGAACCATGTTGGAAAACACACTTCAGGATATTATACAGGAGAAATTCCCCAACCTAGCAAGGCAGGCCAACATTCAAATTCAGGAAATAAAGAGAGTATCACGAAGATACTCCTTGAGAAGAGCAACTCCAAGACACATAATTGTGAGATTCACCAAAGTTGAAATGAAGGAAAAAAAGTTAAGGGCAGCCAGAGAGAAAGGTCAGGTTACCCACAAAGGGAAGCACATCAGATGAACAGCGGATCTCTCGGCAGAAACTCTACAGCCAGAAGAGAGTGGGGCAAATATTCGACATTCTTAAAGAAAAGAATTTTCAACTCAGAATTTCATATCCAGCCAAACTAAGCTTCATAAGTGAAGGAGAAATAAAATCCTTTACAGACAAGCAAATGCTGAAGAGAGTTTGTCCCCACCAGGCCTGCCTTACAAGAGCTCTTGAAGGAAGCACTAAACATGGAAAGGAACAATTGGTACCAGCCACTGCAAAAACATGCCAAAATGTAAAGACCATTGATGCTAGGAAGAAACTGCATCAACTAATGAGCAAAGTAACCAGCTAACATCATAATGACAGGATCAAATTAAAACATAACAATATTAAGCTTAAATGTAATGGGCTAAATGCTCTAATTAAAAGACAAAGACTGAAAAAGTGGATAAAGAGTTAAGACCCATCAGTGTGCTGTATTCAGGAGACCCATCTCTTGTGCAGAGACACACATAGGCTCAAAATAAAGGGATGGAGGAAGATCTATTAAGCAAATGGAAAACAAACAGAAAAAGCAGGGGTTGCAATCCTAGTCTCTGATAAAAGAGACTTTAAACCAACAAAGGTCAAAAGAGACAAAGAAGGCCATTATATAATGGTAAAAGGATCAATTCAACAAGAAGAGCTAACTATCCTAAATATATATGCACCCAATACAGGAGCATCCAGATTCATAAAGCAAGCACTTAGAGACTTGCAGAGAGACTTAGACTCCAACACAATAATAATGGGCAACTTTAACACCACACTGTCAACATTAGACAGATCCACGAGGCAGAAAGTTAACAAAGATATCCAGGAATTGAACTCATCTCTGCAGCAAGCAGACCTAATGGGCATCTACAGAACTCTCCACCCCAAATCAACAGAATATATATTCTTCTCAGCACCACATCGCACTTATTCCAAAATTGACCACATTGTTGGAAGTAAAGCACCCCTCAGCAAATATGAAAGAACAGAAATTATAACAAACAGTCTCTCAGACCACAGTGCAATCAAACTAGAACTCAGGATTAAGAAACTCACTCAAAACTGCTCAACTACATGGAAACTGAACAACCTGCTCCTGAATGACTACTGGGTACATAACGAAATGAAGGCAGAAATAGAGATGTTCTTTGATACCAATGAGAACAAAGACTCAACATACCATAATATCTGGGACACATTTAAAGCAGTGTGTAGAGGGAAATTTATAGCACTAAATGCCCACAAGAGAAAGCAGGAAATATCTAAAATTGATACCCTAACATCACAATTAAAAGAACTAGAGAAGCAAGAGCAAACATATTCAAAAGCTTGCAGAAGGCAAGAAATAACTAAGATCAGAGCAGAACTGAAGGAGATAGAGACACAAAAAACCCTTAAAAAAATCAATGAATCCAGGAGCTGGTTTTTTGAAAAGATCAACAACATTGATAGACTGCTAGCAAGACTAATAAAGAAGCAAGGAGAGAAGAATCAAATAGACGCAATAAAAAATGATAAAGGGGATATCACCACCAACCCCACAGAAATACAAACTACCATCACAGAATACTACAAATACCTCTACGCAAATAA